CATCACATATACAAGTTTGGTATGTTTAGAGGCTCACAAGTGAATCTTGCAGTCATTAAGATTTGCACTCAGCTTTTGCTCTTAAACCACTGCTGGTCTATGCGATGCAATTGAGCAACTTTGCCTTTTTGCTACACCTGATCACTCAGGTAGTTTTTAAGATGCTTAGCTTCTTCTAGGTGCAATCTCTGAGCAACAGAATAGGTAAGAGGAAAACAAACACATGATTATTAAACCACCATTTGCTGGTTTCTTTCAAAGTTCAGTTATTCTGATGCACATGGCTGTATGAAAATTGTTTTGTTCCTTCATGACAGAACAAATATTTTCTCTCACTTTGTGAAACATAACCTAAAGTAATTCTTTTTCTTTCATTGTGGAGATAAAGAATAAATTTCAGTAAATCAAAACAATGTCTTAACAGCTTATATTTTCATGATGTAAAAGAGGATATTATTTTTCAAGACACAGTACAGTCATATTTATATGGCTACACATACATACATAAAATACAGAAGCTTTGCCTGCTTTATAATACAGTTTGCTGACAGGAACCTTGAGAAGGCTGACCAAGAACAGAGGCTAGACAGAGCTAAGAGAATAAAGTGGGTATTTCTTCAAAGGCCTCAATGGATACACCTGGGCAGTACAAGAGCCTGGTCAGGGCTACACCCAAGGTAAACCCAAAATGGTCACAAAAAAAGGGTCACAAAAATGAACAACCAGTCACAAGGTCTTATACTTTTATAAGTTTTGTTCCATTTGCATACTGGAGTTAATTGTCCAATTATAGCTCTAGGTTATGAAGTTTCATCCTCTTTGTTTTTCTCTCCTCATTGAGAGAGAATATTATTGTTGTTTATATTTTTGGGGGCTGGAGCTTGTAACATTTGTCCTTGGACAGGGTGGAAAAGGATTGTTTCATCTACCTGCCTTGAGAAGAGAGCTTGCTAACACTTAATATGAAGCTCAGAGTTACACACTGAAGCAGCACAAAATATGAATAGCTAAAACTTAGGGCATCAGGCTAAGCTGGAACAAGAGCCCAACTGCAATGCCATATCTTAGTTTCTATATTGTCATTGTTCTTGTGCTCTCTGGGGCATCTAGTGCATCCTCCAAGACAAGACATTATTATATTATTTCCTGGTCTCACATTAGTTATGTGTAGGTCCTTTTGGCAGTGAGCTAAAGCTTCACTGGAGAGTAATCAGAACATTTAGACTGCGTTATACTACAAACTCAGGGCATGCAGACCACAAAAAAACTGTGCTTTAACCCGCATTTCAGACAGCAAAGTTTTAAACATGGGAATGCACAGATGGTTTAAAGCAAGCCCCCAGTCTGAGTAAGCTATTTTTCTCAGAAGAGGACAAATATAAACAAACAAACAGCACAAGAATCTGTGCTCTACATTTCAGTGACAAAAGAAAAAGTTATGGACGTGATCATAATTTCTGACTACATTTACAAGCCCACTGTGACATGACAGAAGCTGACACCATGGCTGGTAGGCTGCAATGGATGGATGACATACCATTTGATATGAAATGGACAAAGCCTTCTTGAAAAACCTGGAAGAAGGCTTGCTGCTGCAGACCCTGTTTGTCATGGAAAACTTGAATCATACTGATATCTTGTGGAGTAGGGAAATCTCAGAACACACACACACACAAAATGTATGGAGTACATCAGGGAAAATTGTTTGTGCAAGCAACGAAGATGCAGGGAGGCTAATTCCTTCTTGGCATAGCTACTGCTCAGAAATAAGAACTGGTTGGGAATGCAATGGTTAAGGATAACCTTGGCAGAACTGAGAAGGAGAAAGAGTTTAGAATCCTGAGAGACATGAGGAAGTCAAATAGTCAACTAAAACTTCTAGGCAGAATCACATGAGCAACTGCCTTGAAGGAGGCCAGGTGAGTTGGTTGACCTTCAGCAACACAAGAAGGAAAAGAATTGTCCATTCCCATGTGCCAAAAGGTCAAGCACAGGAAGCCAGCTTGCCTGAATAGGAAACTTCTGTGTGAGCTCAAATGCTAAAAGGAATCGCTCAGAAATTGAAAGCAATGTTGAGCTACCCAAAACTATTTCTCAGTGATTCAGTTGTAAAATTAGTAAAACCAAAGTTCAGCTGTCAGGAGGTACAATAGAAGCAGTTCAGAACTTACTGTTATCTCAGGGCACTAAGTGTAGACCCATTGTTGAATGGGCCAGGGAACTTAATGACAGAAGACAAGAAAAGGATGAGGAACATGATGTCTGCTATGCTTTGCTGTAACTTGAAAAGCTTCTTTTCAGTCAGTCCCTAATACTGGGGAGCAATGCTGGGCCGTGTATTACTTGTGTTAATATGAAGTATGGAAGACTCAGAGCAAATTCAACATGCAGATCCATGGAACCAGACTGATCCTCAGAGGCAGCTGAGGGAGCCAGCAAGTCTCACTGAGACACACTTCTTCAGTCACTGAATAGACTGCACATGTGGGAGCGCTCTGAGGAGCACAGACAGGCACATGTCACACCTGTTTTCAGGAAGGGCAGATCTGGGTCACCACAGATTGACCAGTTTAACCAAAGGAGAAGAGAACAGCCAATAGACTGCAGGAAGGGAATTTCCTTCCTAGTTAGAACTAGGAAGAGATCTTGCCCAGGAATGTGGTCGGACTCTGTAGTAGACACAAACTAGAATCTCTACCCTTGGACTTATTCAAAACTCAACCAAACAAGGCCTTTGTCTAACTTCAGAGGCATTAGGACTGCAAGATTGGTTTAAGCAAGAGGCTAAGACCTGATGATCTTGAGAAGTATAAATCTAAATTATATTGTGATTCTAATTTGGTTTTTTGCACAAGAATATTTCAAAAGAATTCACAAGGACTAATTACTAACTAGTAATAAAATTCAATTAAATACAATAAAAATGAAAATGGAAGTTTCCAGGAGAGTTTAGCAATAAGAAATTTCTTTTTGAAAATATCATAAAGCCTAAAAATGTTAAATGGAAAATCTTTTGAATAAAATTAATAGGATTTAAGATGGGACAAGATCAAAATACAGTGCTACTACCTTTAAAAAAAAAAAATTGTTTTCCCTATGCTGCAGGAGAATTCCTATGGTATTCTACATGTTGGTGAACTAGAAAACTTAATAAGAGTAACCCTAGGCTTTCAGAAAGTAAGGACACTTCTATCCTTAATAAGGCAGTAACTGGTGGCTTTCAACAATTTGTGTATCTGTGAAAAATAAATGTGGAGCTCTCATGCAATGGCACAAAGGAATGTGAGATCTGGATACTAATTAATTTGGATGCCTTTGAAAATGTCGCCAATTTTTCAAGCTTTTTTGTTGTTGTTGTTGTTTTTGTGTTGGTTAGTTGGAGTTTTTTTGCCAGTACCAAAGGGCATTTCACAATGGGGAAAAAAGTATCCCTAATTCTGCTGCCAAACTGTTGCAAGTGACTGCTTCATCTGTCATTTGCTCTATCAGTTGGCATTCCTGCAGATAAAAGAAATCTTGGTGCCATGAGATGAGTAAGAAATTGGGTCCAATATAGTATGCTAGCAGACTGATTTTTCTCTTTTACATGCCTTCATATTGAGTGGGATGTGACTGCCAAATGAAATCCAGAAGAAATAGTGGATTTGAATGTTAGCAGAGATGGGGAGGCTGGAGGGATGGGGGAGGAGAGACAATTAACATTATCATTAAAGCTGCCTGCAGTTGTAACTACATTTCAGTTTCAATATACAGCTCAAGGATTTCTGGCATTTTACATTGTCCCTCTCTCTCATTTGCTTTGCGTCCTTAGTTATTAAGGCAATATCAATATAATAATGTTTAATTTAAATGGAGGAAAATTTGGATTTAAAGATCAAACCAATAGTTCTATTCATTGAAACTGCACTTCTTAATTAGCTGTTACATTTAATTTGTAACTACTACAGTGATAGCAGTCTCTGGCTCATGAATATGCCTATATATATAGCTATAACTTTATATTTCAAAGAAGATTATTCTTTAGCTAAATGGTCTCAGCTGGAACAAGAGTCAATAATCAGCAAGTCTCCTGTGAAATGCTGACAAACAACTCATTAAAAAAGCTGAAGTAACTGTTTCACAAGCAGTACTTGCCCACTTCACACACTGCGGTTCCTAAAATATCATGAAGGACAACAGCATCAAATACACGTAAGAAAACTACGTATCAAGAGCTATATGAAATATACTGCTTAAGAATCTTATCCTATGCACCAGAGTGCTTTAACTGAGGCTGAGCACTTGCAACCTAAGTGTCCAATGCATCACAGCCAGTTTGCTCCTCTCCTGCGTATCTCTGCACTCTTGCTTGACGGTTCTGGAGGAAATGGAGGGTTCTGAGAGTTGGAGGCTTGGTACAAAGCACCTTCTTAGCCTGCCACAAAATCCTTCATTTCTTCAGTTGTCAAATTTAAATTCAGTGAGACCCTTCAATTCAGAGAAAAATCCAAGTCCTTGTCCCTAGGCAGTTATTCCACATGAAACAGTCTATCTTCTCATTCCTTCCCCAAAAAACACCCTGGGCTTGCTCCAAAGTATGTTCAAAGTATACCAGGCACCAAAGTAGAGAGAACTCTGAAAAACTGGAGAGTGAGGGCAAGAATCCCTTAATGCAGACATATTTTTAGGCTGGCATCTGCAGTGGAAGTGCCCTTAGCTCCATCTTACTGGTTAGAAGGGTAGCACAGACACCCTGTCCCTACAGTTTCATTTACCAAAAACCTTGGCCTCTTTTTCTTTTTTCTTTCCCCCTCCCTTCGTCTGGTTGAATTCTTCCTCCAAATTTGCAAATCGTTTCAGGCCTCAGAAACGAACCTCTTGCCAAATGACATAGATGTACAAAACACCCACTCAGGCCCGTTGAAAAGCCCACCCCATTGGTATTCACCAGGAATAGCACATGTCCTTTCACTGGGCTGGGACATTGTTGGTCTAGCCTGGTCTTTCAGCTGGTAATAAATCAACTCCACTGACTCCGAGACAACTGCTCCTATTTACCTCAACCATGAGCCTGTCCCCAGCGCCGAAACGTCGATCTGATGAGTTAGTATCTATTTCCCTAAAATTCCTTCTGGGCATTGGTTGATTTTCTCTTCACTTTTTACACTGCTGTGAGAAGTCTTTAGGTAATGTTAAACATTGGAGACTAATTTTAAATGTGAGTGGAGCAATCCTTTATATCAGCTTTGGTGGGCAAAGGAAACATTGATCATTCAGAAGGAAAAGCTGGTGCATAAATAACGACAAATAATAAATATGTCTGATGGGCCAAGTTTTTCATAAGTGCTAGCAGTAATAAGACTATTTTGTTGTAATAAACTGAATACAGTCAGATGCTTAACATCTTCCCTTTCTTTACAAGAATTCTGCAGATACTTGAATTTTTTGGTCAATATTGGATACTATAATAACAAAATTATATGATATTTCAAATATTGGATACAGTTTTCAGATACAGCTTCTTTCTTATTTCACCTTAAAGGAGATGTCCCTTAGAGTGATTTGTTTGGTCTGCAAATGTCAGACAGAACTTATATTTATCTTTTTCCAGAAAATGAGGGATAGGATCCGATCTCCTTCAGCAAATCTTTTAATGAGGTCAGTTATCTTACGATGTGATAATCATTATACAGATATCAAGTTCAATTTTTGAAAGAGTAAGCTTTTTTGTTCTCTTTAAGTTTTCGCTTTTTTGCCCCAGCATTAATGGCTGCTTTTTTCTTTTCCTTATTTTTTTTTTGTCTTGTAAGTAGTATTTGGGATGTTTAGCTTCAAAAAGAACTAAGCATTATAAAATAAAGATTTATATATTTTGAATAAAATACTGGAAGTGTTCAACTAGTCAATGCTTCGACAAATTCTTTTAACTTGGCTTAGACTGGATGACAGTAACAAAACAGAAAGAATTGTTTAAAATTTATGTGCACAACTGCATATCAGTGACAAGCATTTTGATTTCTGTGAATTTTTTTTTCTTTTAGTATATGTGATTATGATTTAATTTTGTAAGTCACGTGCACTACTTCTACCTATTACAGACAAATCACAGTATGTCCAAATAAAATTAAGTCATTCTCTAGGATTAGCTTTCAGAGTCATTCCCACTGTTAAATTCTTTAAAGCAATAAAACAACAGCACTTGTGAGATAAGTTTTGCATGCTAAAAGCTTAACCCTGGTGTCTTTTGTCAGGTAAAATTCTCTGCATCTGGAGTTAGAATTTTACCATAGCAGGGACTACAAGACTGAGGAACTGATACCTCTCCTTAACCTACTGTTATAAGAGTCCTTTGGAGTCTCTGTGCTAATCTAACATCTCTTTTGTTAAACTATAGAGCAGTGAGAGGGGGTTTTATGCTTTGTGTTATATTGTGAAAACATTAGCAAATGAAATAAATGTGAATTTGGCTTTTTAGCACTTAGAATTATTCACTTTGAACTGTAAATTATTTATGGTACTCAAAGAGACACTTTGTAAATAACAGGAAAGCCTCAGAAATCAAATGCAGATTGTGGTATTTAGTCTTGTCTTGCCATCATTAACCATTTCAGTTACACAACATGTTTCAATAAATCAAGCACATCTTTTAGACATCTCTCCTAAAGGAATTAGAAAGCAGCAGAAATAAATGAAGCTGTCTACAAGTGACAGCTACAAAGGGAAACCCAGAGAAGGAGAGGAAAAAAAGGTGCTCCTGTGAGCAGATGATAAAGCAGATGCTGTAAAACAACAGGGGGATTGCACCATTTCTTCTCCAGAACTGATGATGGTTTGATAAACAGCTAGTCATGCTCCTGGAAAACCCTGTCCATCAGTGCATATCAGTACAAATTAATGGTGACATGTCCTGATTAAACTTGCTGTGCTGTGAAATGCAATGCATTATCTGCATGGCAGTAAGTGAACAAATGCTCTCAGGGAGTGAAAGAACAAGCAAAGTCACACATCTCAGGTTGGGTCCCGAGTCATAGCTGCCTGTGGTGAGGTAGGTGTTCAATTGACAAAACCTGTCTTGACTTGTGGGTTTTGCAGGCTATAGTTTTTGTTCTGTTCATTGAAAAGAGTTGTCTTGATGATACCCTTTCTGCAAACTGTAAGTCAGTTTTCAAAACCTTCAGTCAAGCTCTTGAATCTCTTCCTCAACCAAATCTTAAATAAGCTTGCACCCCTGACAAGAAGTCTCCCTTTGGAATAAATAGAAAACTTCAAATATAGTAATGGTGAGACCACAACATCACCCAATATGAACTGAATAAGAGCAAAAAAGTTCTCAATGACAATTTGGGAGTCTCTCAAAAGTTCATTTTCTAGAGTAAAAAGCAAACAATTTTATATTTCTAATGCAATTTAAAAAAAAATTAAGTTTCATTTGGCTTTTTTCTTGTCTAACATAGAAAATGAAAACCTTTTTGTAAGAGCTAGTTATTTATTTTAAAAATGGAAGTCACACATTTAACATCACTTTGCTCTCTTTACTAAAGCACTTCTGACATAACTGATAAATAATTCTCTATGGTATTAAGAAAGTTTTGCCTGTTAAAGAGAGGTTTGCTGAATTAAAGATTTCTTCCAAAACCGGTAGCTTGTCCTGGGGATGGGAGCCAGCCTTTGCAATTCATACTGCTGCTGCAAGGAAGGACCACTCAAGGCAGTAAGAACACCACTGTCAGTACAGCCAGCAGAACCTGGAATTTCTTCCCACATCTGTAAAACACATTGATGGCTGTAGAGTCAAACCAGATGAGGCAGCCTTAAATACTTTTCAGAACAATTCCTTATCCTGATCCTACTTCAACCAACCTCCCAGGCTGGGTTCCAATCTCATGTAAAATCCAGAACAATTTAGATGAATGTTGTGAAATTGCATTACAATGAATGACATTCCAGTCCAAATGTTGCCATTTCTGCAAAGGAAATACACAAGGCAGCAATAGAGATATTTCCCCTATACTTTCATTCAGGGAACAGACGACAACAAATAAAATAAACATATCTAGGGAATCTTGGGAGAAGTAAAACATTTAATCCTTTCAGTACTTAGCTTTCTCTGTTCATACTATCTGGTCAGCAAATGGATGGAATGAAAAACACATCCATTTCCCTGACAAAAAAAATATTGTAGAGAAATACTACACACTAAATTCTTTGACATTTCAGTTCCTATGTTAAGAAGGTCTGAAGATTTAGGAGAAGAATTAGCTGTACAGGAAAACACAGAAGCAAGGCGTGCAGCTAGAGACAGTGATGAAAACACTCTGAAAAGATTTGTCCAAGAAGGCACAAAATATCAGGAGTAACCTTTTAACTACTCTTAAATGCTTTCCCTAAGTTTTATTAGAAGGTGTCAGGCCACACGAGAGAGGGGATGGGGTCACCAGTATTAAGTGGATTTAAGAGAGTGCTTGCTTCATAAAGGAGAGTGGGAAGGCTGCAGAAACCCAGGCTACTGAAAAGGCAGCTGATCCAGGAGGCTGCACCAGCGTGTGCTCCTCACCTGCCCAGACCTGTGACAGAGCCTGGCACAGGGAGTGCCCGCAGCTCACAGGCAGCCTCTAAAACAGAAAAATGAAAGGCAATGCAACCTTTATTCCCTCCTTTCTTTCATCTGGACTTCAACCTACTTATTTTATTTCTGAAACAGAGGTTTTAATTAAAGCTACCTTCTATACAATGCACTGAACTTCACCTCTGTGGCAAATAACACATTAATTTCCCCTGACTCTGAGTAATCTTACTTTCTCTCTTTTATCCCTGAAAACATCTTTCCCCACCAAGGAGAAATAACAGGTGGGGGCAACAAAACTGAAGCAACTTACTGGAAGTGATGACAAACTCTGCATTTTGTTATTTTTCTTCATTTTTACATATGCTTCTTTATTCTTGCAACTTCCCCCACTGAAGCTATGGAATGAGCTTTAGCAATGCAGCTTCTCACTGGAGGAATGGAAATGAAACAAGTCACAGAAGACAGATAGCAGATAAAGTAAAGAAAGCCCATTGAGAGAGGAGTATGTGATCCATTCCCTCACTACAGTGCCACCTGCCTAGGGAGGCACTTTAGGCCAGGAGTCTCTCTTTGAGACCTCAGGTAGTGAGGCTTAGCCTTCAAGCTCTAACCTTGCATGCCCATATCACAGTTAGGGTATTTTACCCAAAAATGCAAGTCAAAATCCAGACCATGTTTTTTTGCATCTTTCTTTCAGATCCTGGATGAGATTGCTGGCAAATCAATCAAATGTTAAAAAATTTCACGAGGCCAGCTTCCCTGGGATAGGCAGGAGAGAAAGGAAGCATGCAACCTTGGTCTATTCAGCATCTTCCTAAAAAATCTCCAATGTTGCTGGATCTGGGATTACATGTGTCCATCACAACTTTTTTTTTCTTTCTTTAGGCAGAGGGCATTTGGGATTTTAAAGAAGCTCAATAACAGGGCACTTATGAGAAAGATTTTACAGTTTCTTCTATTTGTGAGGAGAATGCAGTGGGAAGAAGTGAAATCTCCATATCGCCCAGTTATATGGGGATTGTTGGTTTTGACCAACAGAAGAGAGAATGAATGACAAAAGTTTCAGAACAGTGAGCTAAAACAGAGTAAATGTTCTAGCTGGGTTCATGTTTCCTGCAGATCATGTACAGATGGGACATGCAATGTAATCATCAGTGAGCTATAAATCCATCTGCCAACATGAAATTACATAGATATATCTCTGTTGGCCTAGCATTTAAATGATGTAGTAGCGGAGCAGAACTCCTATTGTGCGAGATGCTCTCACACCACAGAACATGGAGTTCCCTTCCCCCATCCCTAAAAGCAAACTTGCAATTTAAAAGCTGTTAAGTACAGATAGATATGTAAGAATATGAAAGACAACAGGTTTTGATTTCTGTGGTAATAGTTACAACGTGGTCTTTTTGTACATAGTTGAAGAAAGGATTTGAAGGAAGGTAATGGAGTAGGTTTGTAGACATTTCCATAGGAATTTTGATTGTGTATTAAATACGCTAAAATTGCCAAAATATTTGCTTTAAAATCTACAACTACTGCCTGAAGAATATTGCTGGGGTTTGACCAGATGTAGATCATATGAATAAGCATTTGCCTTTCTATCAAAGGGATTTTATGAATGAGACATCTCAGCATTAAAAGTTTTTAGGCATAGACATAAAAATACTTTTTCTCAAGGTAAATGTAAGCCACTAAAGGCCTCATAAGTAAAGACAAATAAATAACAATTAAACCAGAAAGGAAGGGAAGTGGGGGCAGGGTGTCAGGGAAGAAAACATTCTGAGAATGGTTCCTGACAGAAGATAAGATTGTGAACTGACAGACCAGGAATCCTTTAGAGGTGAACTCTGAATGGATCTGAATAGCAAAGAAAATTTACAAGGGCTGTGACTCAGATCAAAATAACAAGTACTTCTAATTAGAAGTGTATGAACAAAGCAAAGGAACTAGCAGATGAAAAACAAAGTGATGGGAAAACAAACAAAAACTTCAAAGATTGAGGAGAATTAAGACAATCAGTTATTATTTTATGACTGAAGATTAAGACAGAACAGTGATGAGCCAGAAGGCAAAGAACCGCTAAGTAGCAGTCCAGCTTAAAGCATGGCAATATCTGAATGAGAAAAAATGGAAATCAAATAAATAAGGACAAGAACCTTGTACCTTCTCTATGTTCAATACTGTCACATGACAATTAAATTATTGCTTCAGATAAGATTCTCGGCCTTTCTTTACCACTAGATTGGAGCAATGAGTTAACTAAAAATATTTTTATAGTTCTACATGCAACAATTTCTTAGGTAATAAGACTTGCAGTTTTTAGAAAATTCAGTTTTTTTAGTTATGAATAAAAAGTGCCACAAAATGTTTCTATTTGATGTTTTAATATGCTGCTTTATACTGACTGTTGATTAACATTTTAATAACACTGAAAAAATGAGCTATGAGATTGGCTTTATACATAAGACAGAGCAAGCTTCAAGGTGTGCAGTGGGTGCCAAAAAAATTGCAAAACAAAAGTCAGAGAACACAGACATTAGCTGATACTGTAAACAAAAAGCAGTATGTAAATGTAGGAGGCTGAAGATGTGCTCTTTATACACCACTTGCATACCTTAGACCTATAATATCCTAGTCAGGGTTTACACACATACCAGCTTTCAGAAAAAAAATGTAAATGTTTTTATATAGCACCTAGCCCTGGCTATTTAAGCTCTGGCAAAGGCCTGACTCACTACTGCGTCACTGCTGTTTTAAGCATGAAATACAAGAAACCAAACAGCAGCAGCTACTTTAGGCAGAAATAATTAGGAGTGGGCTGTGTTATGCTGCACATAGACCTGGTTTTTGCAGCGCTGTGTCAGCCCCTCTTAAGGCAACAGCACAGAATTTGTTACCAAGTCAATATTCTGTTGAAGTCCTAAAAGCTGGGTTCAAAGCAACTATTTATTCATTCCTACTCAAGTTCGGTATTACATTACCCCAGCAGGGTGATTCAAACATTAAGGATAGATTTTTAAGGCTCTGAATAGTGAGAAGAGGCACAGTTACACAAAGAATCCACAAAATTTACATGTGAATTGGCAGATGCAAAATAAAATAGTGATGTGTGAACTCCACCTAGTTGGAGCTTTAAAATTCTCATGCCTTTGAGATTCAGAGGATGGAGTTTAAGATAGGTCCTTAACTGAGCAGGACTCTCTTATAACACTGCTTATAGCGCTTGCTAGAAAACCGGAGTCTGATTTGTTCCTTAACCTGAGAAATTAAAAATTTCCATTTCTCAGCCTAGTGCCTAACCACCAACCTACAGAAATGTGCAGATGAGAACATATTCTAATACAGCATGTTGAAACTAATGCTTTTGGAGATGGAAATACATGATTGCTAAGGACGTAGAAAAGTGAGAAAGGAAAACATGAGCGCTATGCTGAAAGGAAGAGACCTGGTGACCTCATTTCGATGCTAACAGTGTGGGGAAACTTTTTTGTTTTGCAGCTGCAACCTTCAGTAGGTCTTACAGATGTGTGAATGCACATAACTCTCAATCTCTTACTTGAACTTCTTGCAGACATTTTAACTGGGGCAGGAAAGATGTTCCTGGCACTACCACAAGACAGCAGGGGTAAAACACAGGCTCTGTGTTTGCAATGGCAAACCAAGAATTTCAGTGGAGTTGGGACTTCATATCCACATCCTTAACTTCAGTTTAATTGTCTCAACCAAGGCTATATTTCAATCATAATCTCCAAAACTATGACTTAATATCTCATTCTACCTTAGGACTTTAAATGGTCTTAAATTGGTGTAGCAGAAATAGCATGGTACATGTGTAAGGGGAACCAGATCTGCCAAAATATTCTCAATCCTCCCTTACACAATTGTGTGCATATATATTCTGATAAGGATCATATCATAGAAACTCTCCAAATTCATTTGTGAACAAACTAGGAGGAAACAATAAATGACATTGTAATTTGGCTAGAAGTCCTCTGTGTTGCAAACTTCTACTGAGAATAGGTGGAATCAGCATTATGTGATTTTTTTTCCTGCAAATCCCTTTACTGTCCTGTGATGTTGGACCAGAAGGTATCTTAGTGCAATGAAAAAAGTTTTAAGGAGCCCAAATAAAATATGCTTTTATGCTGTGCTATCGCACTGTGCTTTGTGGAGGAAGCACATAGTAGAAACAGTTAAAAATTACCATTTGTGCTATATCTGAGACAAGAAAACAGCAGAAATATTGCGCAGACATGAGCGTTAGCAGTGGCAAGTTACAGACGCATTTAATACCTACTTGTACTCTTGCATTTTTAGACAGAAGTCACCCTAGAAACGAATAAAGGGAGTTTAACTCTTTTCTGAACGTTTCAAATTGTGCCTATGTGAGTCTGATTCCAGGAACAGAGCACTGCTCTCTGTTGTCAGCTCAGCTTTTCTGGTTATATCTGAATGCTTTCACCAGCTCTCCTGGTAACACATATTTCTACATACATACCAAAAGGAAACGATTGGCATCTGCCATAAGATTTTTTTTGCCTAAGATTCAGCAGGCAAGCCAAGGAAAAACTATAAATCATTTCACACAGACTAATATCTCAAGCCTTTGACAGAGAAAGCTGTTGTATCTTAAAAAGTGACAGGACTTCCATCAGAAGGGAACCTTATCTTGTGCCAAAGAAATGTAACATTTTCTTAAAGCCTCATTAACCTCATGCAAGTCCAGTAACACTATTTTTATGATCTTGGAGCACACTAACCTGGCGTTCCAAGATCATAAAAATATGACTGATGATTGTCACAGCAAGAATTTTAACATAGTATCAATTGGGTTAGACATCGGGTATACAGTACTTAGTGATAAAGGGACAGTGACCAAAAAGAAGATAGCAAAACTTCAGACAGTGTACATGTTTTGGGTAACTCTGGTGTAAAAAGAGTTCAGATTGTCCATCACACAGTAGCAGCTGATAATTCACCCAAAACATTGAGAGACATTAAAGACTGCAGGATTTTGAGAATTACAGGACATACATATGCCTTAACAATGTGATTGAATGGTTATTTTCAATTAAGTTACAGTGTCTTCTTAGAATAAAAACAAGCATTATACCTGTCTTGTCAATAACTTGCTTCACAATGCCTACTCTAAAATATTCTTCTGTGATTCACTTATTTTATAATAATTAGGATAACTTAATAATGCAATTTCCCTTCTTTGTTCAGTTACCAGCTAGACTTGTTCCGACAAATTAACATGAAAAAAAGAGAAACAATGAAAAAGCAACTCCTTGAATGTAACACTTAGGAGATGTGTACCTACTGGAATACCAAAAATGCAGGTATTTTAACTAAATACTAGAATTTGATGGGCAGCCTTTTACTCTGCTGTTAACTGTAAAGGCACAAAAGTTGAAAATTTCATTGCAGGATCTTGAACAAATACAATTACTAAAACTTTTTCTTAAAGGAAATAATAACTATATTTGTAGTGAATTAAAAAGAGCATCATTTTATTCACATTTTTCTTTTTAAAGTGAAAAGTCAGTTATACTACAATGCTAATCACTACAGTAATGAGCCAGAAATAATGAATCAAACAAAACACTACATTCCCTTTAAACATTCAAGGACAAAATATTTTGACATTTAAAAAGTAAGTTATTTTGCTCTGAAATAGGAATCCAGTGAAAAAGCAGATTGATTAGGGAAGGTAGGCTCCTCCACACAATTGGATGAATTTTGATGAAACAGAGGTTAAGGAATTTTTGACCAGCACTACTGACAAAGTATGAAGGCCTGAATTTGCATCTCAGTCCAAGTTTAGACTTCATAAATCAGGCAGCCAGACCAAATCTTTCAAAGCTTCTTGTAATCTATTTGTATTGAAACATTAAAAGAAAGATTAAGCTAGTTTTCCAGAAAAAAACCCTCAAACAACACAGCAAAACAAACAACAAGAAAACCCCATCAGTATTCAGATTATAGTAAAAGAAAACAGTGATTGATATCAATTAGGTAAAAGCTCCTATATGTATATATTGTTGTAACAAGGTCATACTACTGATAACAAAAGCCCAACACATCCATTTCTTCTCTGAAATCTCTAAAGCCACCTACATTAACAAGTTCTTTTTTCCTTGAATAATAGGACTGAATTGAAACATATGGAGGTAAAGTTCAATTTAGATGAAATAGATCTTCCTGCATTTGCTTGCTTACATATGTGTGTATGATAAACATATTTTATATCTGTCTGATTCAAAGTTTTAGTTCTTAGAATTCTGGGATAAAAAGAGAGTTTTAGAACACATTCATATTTACTCAAAAACCCAACAGAAGAAGAAACCATCACACTAACAAACCCTACTCCACATCCTTTGCAAAAGCTAATCTCATGGCTGGGCAGAAGTTACAGCGACAATGCTCACGTTGCAATGTCCACCTCACCAAGAGACCGAGCTATCATCAATCTCTCTCTGCAGGTACAAATAATTGATAGAATAGTTGTTATCATGTGGTTTGAGTTTTTTGCATACCTAATGTAAATAGAATAACAGCCCTGAAGATTGACAATCTCTTATTAGCCAGCACAGCTTGGCTCATAAAGATGGTTTTCACCAAAAGAGTAAGAAGTGCTCACTTCCCTGTCCAAAAAAGCAGCTTATTAATGCAAATTTCTGTGTTCCTTCACAGCATGCAAATATTACCCTAGGTAAAAAACAACCAACCAAAAGTTTATTTCAAAGAGGTCCATCAGCAGCTAAGTATTTTCATATCAACACTAGTATAAAAATTGACCCAAAAACTTCAAAATCTTCCCTTCTCACTCAGACCCAGTACATTATTTTCCATGTTTATTAGAGTGGGTATCTCACATGAATCTGCTTCTTTACCATCAACCCCCTTACTATAAATAACAAAGCCCGATGATTATCACTTACTCTTTGTATGAGTCACATTTAAAGAGAGCCCTGAGGTGCTTCTCAGGGAGCCTCTTTGTATCATGAATCAGAAGGGAAAGAAAGCAGCCTCTGAATACCACCATACTCAGACTCTAGATGCCTAGAAGTATCGTTGCCTATTAATAGTTTCAAGCTGTCAGGCAGTTTCACATAATGGAAGTCAATGGTCATGGAGAAGTTTCTCTTCTTCAGAGGTATTTGTAAAATAAAGAGAACCTGATAATGGAAAAGCTCCATACACATACAGGCAAAACAGAAAAGGTGAAACCCCCTTATTTCAAGGCCAACTGAAAATCCACAGTCTGAACAAAAACGAGGAGTAGGAGCCATCAGGCTCCTCATGGCACAAGCCCAGGTTGGGCAGACATCAGCAAACCCTGGTAGACATGAGGACAGTTTCCACCTCAGACATTGCTGCACAGCACAACCTCAGAGCCTCACATGCCACAGATTTTAAGCTATTACTTTATTTCTCATTAACAGCTTCCAGGTCTCGCCCATGTTTTATTCATTTTCCAGCCAGGGCTACAGCAAGGCTTTTACTCACCTCAGCAGGACCACAAGAAGTTTCCTTCCTTCTGGACAGAGGGAAAACAGAATGCTTTCAGACCTGATGGAGCTGGAGACAAGCAGCAATTAGCTGGCAACAGGCTGACACGTTCTTCACCGCTCTTGCATAAAACATTGAGCTGTGCTCCTCTGGCCCACCTCAGCTTTCTAAATTTATTTATTTATTTTCAGGCTAACCACTTAGTAGCCTGACAAACTGCTGTTTTGCAAAGGCAAATTTTCTTTTTTTTTTTTTTTCGGGGTATGAAAGAAAAAGATAAAGTTCTGGAAAGTCCTTTACCTCCTTTTGACAATCCTTCAGCTCCCCTTTGCTTGCAAGTCCTTCTCCCTTCCCCTGAAGGGCCCAGTAGTATTGTTTACTTCAGCCCAAATTTCTCAGGGTCCTTCTGCATTCAAAGCAAGGAAATACTGCTTTGCTCCTTCAGCCATAAATGGAAGAGCTCTTTGGGTAAAGGTAATTAACGCATTTATCTGGCTCATTGTTGCTCATTAGCCCTGAGTGCCTTCATCTGGCCTCCCAGGTAACCATTTCTGTGGATGCCCCTGCACCATGCTTCACTTTGAGCATCTGTTTTTTCGTTCCATAGCAGAGTTATCGCTGATCTTCTTCTACTTCCTTGTCTAGAGATAATTCTTCCTGTTTGTTTTGTTTTGTTTTTTTTTTTTTTCCATTTTGTAGCCATTCTCCCTAGTCACTCCTACAGAAAGGTGAGGGACACCTCATGGAAGTGTCTGCTTCCCAGAAAGTCTTGCTCTTGCTATGGTCTGCCTCAAAGTTACAAGCTCCAGAAGCCATTTGGGGTAAAAGGCAGTAACTTGTACAATACCACTACTACCCTAAATCACTAATAATCACTAAAATGCTGTAATCTTGGCAAACAAAGAATAAACTAAAGATTAAAAAAAAATAAAAAAGGTATTTTTCTGCCTTTCACACCATAGCTGACTATATTCTTTTTTACAATGATATTCTGGAACATGCTGAAATCTGTAACTTTATTTGCCTTAAAAAAACTTGGAAATTAGCTAGTCATTGTTGTGATGTACATGCAATCCTAGATAAGATTAAGATAAGAGTGAGCAAACGTACCTACAAGTACTGGAAACAGTAATTCTCTATTGTCTCTGCAAGAAATTCTTCCACTTCTTTTTAACAGGAACTCGGGAAATGAGAGAGCATCTAAACAGTATCAGAAGTTGAAGTTTTTCCCTGAGACATCATGTTCTTTTGTCAGCACGTTGCCCAGTTAACACACAATGATCAAAGATCTGCAATTCTAGTGTCACATTTAATACCTATATATTTTAATTGTCACTTACATTGCAAATGTCATTAACGAAGCCTTAAGGAATGCCTCATTGTATGAGTAGGTTTGCAGATACCCTCTTCAGTCAACCTAAGAACAGTGCTTCTATTTCAGCTCTATGTAGATACATGCACATACTCTTTGTTTCACTTCTTACACCAATGAATAATTTCACATTAGTTCTGTGCATACTGAAGTAAAGAAAAGAATCTTCACTTTTTCAGTTCTCTTTCATTACACCAACCATTTTCATTTCTTACTATGTTTCATGTACTCTTAAGTTTTTCTCTTCACCACCAATACTTTCACCCCGAGAATGGTTTTAAGTTATTAGAGGCCATGCTAAAAAATCCCCAAACAACTAAGATTAATAGAAAGACAGCCTCTGCTATGGAAACTGTTAATTCAGTATAATGGCTGCTCTGTTGTAATTTGTTACAGCGAGAATTTATATTCACTGACCAGCAGATCTGATCTACTGTTTATATGTCTATTCAGAATTGTATATAATTGTATAATTCTGATGGCATAGACTCCTCTATCCCTCTTTATATAAAAAAAGTGTGTTGTGACCAACTTGCTATCACAGACTGACACATTTAAAATTGCATACATTATTTAGTAATAGCTTATGTATAATTTTATTTGTTTTCAGAGTTACAATGTTCATGAGATAATCATAGAGAACACATTATATATTATTGTTAAACACATTTTTGCCACAAAAAGTTGAGAGCATTGGTAGAAAATCCTATGTCAAGTTATCTGAAAATATTTATCACCTGTAACCATAATTTCATAAAACCAATATACACTTTACGTAATATTATATCAGCGAAGTCCTTCTTTTTGCAAATAACCTTTGCTCTATACTTATGCATGTTTGTAGTTCAGTGCATCAAATGCTTCTGTGTGTGTGTGTCTGCAATGCACAGGAAAAATACTAGTTTACTCCTATGGTAACTGTAAATGTCAACACCACTGGACCCAAGAATGGTGAATACAAGATCTTAATTTTAGCGAATAATCACCTTCATATTTTTCTACCTAATGCTGAACAAAACATTAATTGGCATTTACCTCCTAATGTTTACAGAACATAGACTGTATATTTCAAAGACATAATCCTTACCAACTATATACTGACTTTTATTTTAATGTCTATTATATAAATTAGGACTCTGTTGAATTCTTATACTGAGGAACAAATGATAGTAACTTTATTTAAATACATGCACAGTACCGTGCACTACAGCATGATGAAGTATTATTTTTAAAATGGATGAATGAATCAATAGAAAAATAGATTTAATAAATAATTAACATTTTAAAGTCTGGATAAAAATGGGAAATCATGCATTTCAAGCAAAATTTTATTTTTTCCTTGTTTTTTATGAAATCTCTGAGAACTTAAGACATGCAGAGCTGAGAAGCAGCTCACTCTGAACAAAGAACAATGTAAAGACTGCACAAAAAATTTTGTTTGAGATTGTTTATATGCATGACTGAAAAAATTTGCCATTCTTCGACTTCCCTTCAACATTAGACAGTGCTGTGCAAACCTCAGACAAATCCCTGTATTATGATTTCTAAGCTGTTAGGAAGTCTCTCAGAGAGCTAAGAAAGTTAAAACCTGAGCAACTGCCTCACCAAAATTTATGACAAGAAATCTCTGGATTTCAGAGAGCAAACTACAAAAGGGTAATAGACAACAGGTCATCATTTCCTTGAGAGATTAACTTAGGGGATGAGTAATTATGGATAGCATAAATTTATAAATTATTCTGACAGAAAAAGATATGTTTAATTTTTTAATATTTAGAGTTCGTATCTATGTCTCAATATTTAGCACATGTTACTATGTCAATCAACTCATGAAACAATGAAAAGGGAGTATTTACTTTAAAATAATTTAATGTTTTTCCCTACCCAAACATTTGTCTGGACATTGACACTGCAATCAAAAGAACTGTAAATTTTCAGAAGTGAATCTACTCCAGTGAGTTTGATTAATTATGCATTAACCCATTTCTCTGAAGCATCCTTCACTAAATCTTTGGTGGGAAATGCACTTTAATTAGGCATGAGCTTTGGTTATTTGTGTGCATATGCACTATGCTATTGGTCTGTGTGGAGAATGATTTAAAGTTTTCCATGTTACAGAGATGTATTGCTCATGGAAATAATTCTAGGCTTTCAACAAACACTGATGGCTAGTTTTGCAATTATTATTATCTTCACTCAGCATGATCTTAGTCCCATAGTTTTTGCTCAAACTTTCATCAACTTTTAATCTTAACGAAAGCTTACTCTACTTACACGAGAACAATCATGATCATTAATACTGTGCATATTGTTAGATGTTTTCAGCAGGTACAGTTACACATATACATAGGAGTTATCAGAATAACTTACAGGATTTTAATACTTAGTTGAATAAAAATATTCTCAGGGTAGAAAGAAATGATAAACTAACAATAATGGCTAAGGAGACTTGCAATGACTCTACTCTGAAACAGGTCAGATTGACTATTCATCTAAAGATGTTTGATTGAAGAGATATTATTGAACTTATGGCATATGGTTATTGTAGTAGAAAAAGTTGAAACAGAAAAGAGAGAAAATCAAATTATCCATGACATTCTCTTCCCGTATTCCATGGCAGAATTAGACCACAGATTAGTAAATGGTAATGCATGCAACAAAAAATATGCTGTATCACTGTATGTAAACATCTGCTTTCATCATGCAAAATGCCTACAAAACTGTGACAACATCTTTTTCTAGTAGCATAGTTTTACATCAGCTCAGCTACAGAACAGTTAAACCAAAATCCAAGATTTTGCAAATAGAAGATATTCTAAAATTCTTGAAAGATTTCCAGCATAAATATTCCAAAGCCCAACAAAGCTAATTGTTTTGTTGTTGTTGTTGTTGTTGTTGTTTGTTTTTTTTAAAACTAAACTACATAGGCTTATTCCTTGCTGTGGTTCCTTGTTCTTTTGATGATAGAAGAGAAAAGACCAGTTTTTGGAGGTGGTCCCATCAACATGGGGGCTTGGTTCTTGTGAGTAATTTTTATCTGGGGAAGAAAGAAGAAAAAGAGTTATCCCTTGAGCTAGTTCAGTTCCAACTATCTGAGATGCATGATTTATCTTTATATATAACTTCCAGACCTGCATTGTTTAATCCAAGCTGAAAGGAAAATACCTGGGGTTTTTTTATGAATAATGTTCCATATGCAGTAGATCAATCTATGTATAATAGTTTTTCTGCAAATAGTTTAAATTATTTGCAAAAAAATGTTAATAAACACTTGCAATAAAATACACGCCAATATACAATCTTACTTTTTGAGTGTGGGATTTATTGCTTACTGCTGAGGAAGAATTTAAAAGTTGGAAAGAACATACATGCTGACAGACCAAGCTGTTGCCTATTATTAAGATATAAGCTATGTCTTTACATGCTTTATTTATACATCTAATCAAGCTGTACTCTTTTACCACAAGACAGTACTTAATTTCAAAACAGCCATGGTTAACAAAAGTATAAAGTTAATACACATGAAAAAGTTCAAAAAGATGAACTAGCATTCTAATTTGTTAATTAATTGTTAATAGAAAAGACTCAAATATTGAAAAGACTATTTAAAACACTTTGTAAAACTGCTCTAAAGCCACCCGTTTTGATTTCTTTGATATAGAACTACGAATCACCTTAAATGAGACAACCTTAAAGTAGATTATGTCTGCAATTTTCTCTAATTCAAGTCTAAATTAGAGAAGACATTTTATGAATGTATGCTATGCTCAAAGCTAATTGAAAGCAATTATCAAAGTGGCATTTTGTCTGTGACTTTAAGATACATTGTAAGATAATAAATGATTCTCATTATGTAATAAAAAGGTCACATCTTGCCTTTGGGCTAGTGACGTTAGGAGTTTTTCAAAAGCAATCCGAGACATTTTCTTTAGTGAACTACGACTAATACAAGAACCATCACTTATTAAATATCAGTTGTCACCTGCATGGTACCCACATCAGAGATGGGTATCTGTTTCAAAAAGAAAACCACCTCATTAAAAACTGGAAAAATATATCTCTTAAAGTGCATACCTGACATTTTCAAGCTAAAATGAATATCCTTCACTTGTCATTCACTAATAGTAAATGAAACAAAAAATGTATGTCACGTGGAGAGGATCATTAAAATATAGATCAGGACATTTCTTGGGGTGGAAATTTACTTTACAATGTAAGAAGACAGAAACATAAAAATCTCAAAAGACTCTGTGTCTTGGTTTAACTCTATTAGAGCCTTTACTTTACTCTCCAAATGCTCATTTTCATGCCACCTTAGTTCATTAACTTCAAATTTCACGTGGGACCTCTTTTTGTCAACACTATTCATTAGTATCGAATATAGCATATGGGGGGTTCTTGGCAACGTAGATTACTTTCACATGGATAATAACTCTGGCTTTCAAAGACTGGCACCAATATATTTTCTCACAATAAATTCTGCTTCAGGCATCACTCGGAAGCCAAATCTGTACTTGGGGTAAGCTGGCATTATTCCATTGATGTCAGTACCAGCTGATGATCTGGTCCTGGAAAATTGCCTATTTTTGTAACTTCCACATGCTTATAAGATGTATTTTGGGGATCAGGAGCAATGATGATATCAACCTGATCCTGAGGATCAAGACATGAAGTAACCTACAGCTGGTGTGAGTGAATTTTTCAAGTCATAAAGGGTAAAATCTTGCTTATTGCAAGATTTGGCCATGATGTGGCAGTAGGAATGCCTTTAAGTTTCCTTTCTGAGGTAAAAGAGTAATTCCATCCTAAAGTGAATAAAAGAGCAAAGCTGAAAATGGCTTTAGTAGGAAGGGGTGAGGTAATCCTGAGACCCTGTACAGATTGCGTGTCGGGTTGGGGCTGTTCAATGCTCCTCAGGATGAATGCAATTACATACTGAGTAAATGTTTATCGTTTGTAATGTTCTTTCTTGGCTTGAGCCATCTGTTTCAGAGACCACAACCTCTTCAGTGTGTTGCTTTCTATCAGCTGAGATCAGCTAACATGCCTGAACATGATTAACCACTACCATGCATGGGGATGAGTCCTATATGACTCTCTCCAAGACACATTTTCAACTGTTATAAATAGGCACAATTCCAATGGTGTAAAATATTTCACATTCTGAAAATGCCACAATAAAGTGTAAATTTAAAGTATATTTTTTCACTTAGTCATGGTCGCGTCTATTAACATTACATTGGTTAACAATGATAAACATCAATTCCTCACTTTTCTGCTCTACAAAATTAAATAAATTGAAACATCTTATTTTTGGCTGATGAAAAAAGATCAGTATGTTTCTGAACCATTGCAGTACTGTGCCTGAAGAAGGCTAATTTTGTCTTTCCCAATACTCTCAGGCACTGCATTTCTGCCCTGGTCTCTCACTTCTGCTTCTGTTCTCATACTGGCAGCACTGCCAGAGCTGGAGCTGTGAGTTTGGGTGACAAGTGACAGTGCTCACTTCAAGATGGGAATAAGCACTGAGAATCTCAGACAGAGAAATAGTGTTGTAGGTCAAAATAGGACCTAACATTGAAAGTGCTCTATGGGAGGACAAAAAGAGAGCAAGAGAGAGAAAGAGAGACATGTCTTTACTTAGAAGCAACAGAGACTTTGTTAAGTCAAAAATTCCTACTTACAGCTCTATAGAGATTCTCTCTGTGTGTACAGGGAAGTGTCTAAAGACTAAAATTTACCTTTCAGTTTCTCTTCCAATCATAAAGCATCTTCATGTCTTTTTTAGTAGAAACACAATTATAAAAGTTTTTAAAAAAACCCCTTCTTTAAAATTTTTAATGTTTCCTAGATTTACCTCTGAATTACATATACACATGCACATGAGGAAAAGAGATTGCACAGACAAAAATCCAGAAAGCTAAAATCTAACCTAATGTATTTTTAGGAGTTGATAATATATACTTATAGAAATTACTATGCAATTCTGGAAAACAATTTTTGAGATCACTTACTCAATTTATTGAAAATAGTAATAACTTGAGGGTAATATAATGAACATTTTAAACATAAATTGAGTGCCTGAACTGCTGCTGGAAGAAAAGCAAAACAAAACTAAACAAACACACAACCACCCCAAAAAATCCTAGCCAACCAAAAAAAAAAACCCTCAAAACAACAATTCTCCCCAAACAAACATCAACAAAAACCCCCAAAAACATCAACAAAAACCAAACAAAAAAAACCTCAACAAAACCCCAAACCTGACCCAAACAAAAAACACCAACAAACAAACAAGAATTCCCAAACAAACAAGAAATTATTTTACATACTTGGCATAAATTTATATTTAAAAACAGACAAAATCAGAAAATAATAGAATTCCACTTTGGGGTGGAATTCCACCTGAATTTTGGGGTGGAAAGCCACCTGAATTGCTAGGATACCATGGATTTTTGTTGTAAGCCGGCTCCACAATGTTCTAGGCTAAACTTAAAGTGTTGAAGCCAATGACAAACCTCTTACTCACTAACTGAAGCCAAGATTTTATCCCATGAGGGTTGGTATATATAGTAAATATTTATCTAGCAGAAAAATCTTGCATTTGCAGAAATTACCTTTCTAGTATTAGAAAGTATGTCCAATGATTGTATTCACGGCAATAAACACCAGGTCAAATTGAAAGATCATAATTCTCAAAAGAAGAGATGATAATATCTCCCTATATGTCATAGAAAATTTTGTGATAAGCCTGAATTTTTGATACTAAAAATACTTCATAATGCATAAACCAGGCCTTTATTTGTTTTAGGAGCAGGTCAGAGGTTCAAAATTGCCTTGAAGCCACATGAATATCCACTAAATGAAATGCAGTGAGCATAAAATATTTTAGCATGATAACAGTATCTTTTAGGTCAGTCAGTTTCACTTTCAAGTTCCTTTTTTTGCAGTATTTGCTGGTTACCTTTATGCTTCAAAGAATGCCTAAACATTTACTATTTAATATTTCAGAAGACATAATGCTATAAATGCAGGTTCTAAAGTATTGCACTTGCTGACAATAGGAAACTGGAAACAGAGCTAATAAGCTCTGCTTATAATATTTCAATTAAGGTTAAATAACTTATTACTGTATTTTAAAGACAGGGGGAAAAACTGCCAGAAAAAACCCCCAGCCTTATCCAACTGGATCTTTTAGTTTATGGTTACTTTTTTACATGTTCTCAGCAAGGTTTAGATGTTGGTTGTTTTTAGGGTAAGTGGGTTTTCTCACAGTCTAGATACCCAAATGCTGCTCCTCTTACAGGAAATGGAGAGATGCAACTCCTCTATACCACAGGAGTGCCAAATAATTTTATCTTCCTTAGGTGATCAAGAGTGTATGGGGAATCATGATATGAATCAGAGTGATAGAA